GGGCGGGGAGTTTACGAGCACTTATAAAGCTGACTAGTTACAACTCGAAATAAAATAAATTGAAGATATACTCTCAAATCTTTCCCATCATAGTTTTCTTCACCCTTCTGAGATACTCAAACTAAATAGAAGTTAGATGAGATGGCATCCATTGTTCTGCAAGAAGAGGAGATAATGAAAATCCATAAGACACGGGGTGCCTATTAGCATTTCTTTTGAAATGTGAGCAGGTAGTGAACCACAACAAACCACTTGGGAGAAAGCATGGTATTCCATAAAAGAATGCTTAGTCATAGAAGCATAAGCAAGGCATAAGTCCATACAGTGGTGAAGCTACTGTGTTATATGTCCCCGTGTTAGGAAATTTGGTTGGCTACAATAGCATGTAAATTACAACAGCTTCGACAGAGTTCTTCCTGTGTTTTTATTGATTTGTTTAAATTTTCTTCATAACGGAAATAAATACGTTGCTCGGCCTTCTAACTCATTTGAACTCATGCCATTATCTTCATACTGGTCTCACTTTCGTCAGTATTTGTATTGTGAAATTAAATAGTTGATTAATTGCTGTTATTTTCTCTTACTCAGGTGGTTTTCTCCAGAAGCATATGGAAATTTCAAATAATTGGAATTTAGCCCCACCAAAATGATTTTCAGCTAGGAAGGATAATGTATTTGTATGATGTTATGATGTAGAAGCAGCATGTTGATATGAATTTCTGGATTTGCTGCTTTGGCACAAGATTGACAAGCATTTTGTTCTGTCTCTGTTTGATTTAACATCCATAAAATAGCGTGCATTGCAACTTCTCTCTCTCTCTCCTCCCAAAATATCACTTGTATAAAAATTAAAAAATTAAAAAAAGAAATGTTGTGGCTGAAGGAAAAACTTCATGCATGTTTGGTGGGGTGGTTTCGGACTCAACCCTTCATAGAAGCCCATGGAAAGCAGAGAATTTCTTCAAAGCCTTGGTGTTATATGTAGAAACAGATAGCAGATTTATGAGTGTTGCCGTCGTTTTATGTGAACTAGAGTCTCCTTTAGTAGGTCTTAGGTGGGGCGGTCCCTTGTGCGACGACTCTTGCAAGAAAGGGACCTCTGCATTGATTGTGAGAGTGGTTGCACCCATGATGTGGTCAGACCGCCCCACCCAAAACCTTTGAGCCTTGAGATAACGTTGAGGTTGTCGGGGGAGTCTGCAATCAGAACTCACTCCTCTCTAACTAAATCAAAATAGGCTAGAATGCTTCTATCGATAGAGCTTTCACGTCATATAATCGTGATGGAACTTTGTTTTTGGCCAATCAACAATATATGGAGTGGCTGGCTGAGGTCTGTGTAGTAGATTGTAGACCATCGGTGGAGTGATCTTGTTCGATTAGTCGTATGTCCCAAGATCAACACAAATAACATCATATTAAGTTGAGCAAGTGTATTCTGGACTATGACAATGGCAGTTCAACATGGTGTTCCATAATCTATTGTATTATTTGTTGGAAAAAAAAAAACCTGAACAACAAAAAATAAAAAACTTAGACAATCATGCGAAAAGCAAACAAGCCACAATTTTCTTTTACCTTAATTCCAGGTTCTCCCCCACCTTTAAAAGAAAATTTCAGTGGTGAAAGACATAGTTTTAGTTGTTTCTAAAAATTTACCCTTTTTTTTATTTAAATTTTTTGAACTTTCAAAAGAAGGTAAAAGAGAAGTAGAAAAAAGAAGATAAAAGAGAATGTAGCTCGCTTTTAAAAATAGGATAAAATTATTTAAAACTTTTGAAAATCTAGTGGAAGGAAAGATAAGAGAAGAAAAGAACAATAAGAAGAAAAGGAACTAATAAAGCAAGCAAAGCAATTAAACATAATCAACCAAGTCTTCAGTGGAAGGGCAGCAAGTTTTATTGACAAAAGGGTGGTCAAGAAGCTCATCAACAGTTGCTCTCTTCCTCCAATCCTTCTCCACACATCCCCAAACGAAACTCCGAAACTCCGGGGATGCCGTCTCCGGCATCTCCACCCCCTCTCCGAAGCATATCACACACATTAAAGTTGCCCAATCTGGTTTCTGCTCAGGAGTAATCAGTGGGAAACGACCCATGTGACATTGCAACGCCACCAATCCAAGTGACCACACATCACCGGCAAACCCATTCGCATTATCACCACCCCACCGCTCTGGATCAAACCTTTCGGGGCTCATGTACGCGTAGGTGCCCATGTAGGCGTCGCATGCCTCACGGGCACCTGCCACAACATGGCTCACCCCAAAATCTGCAATTTTCACATGGCCTCTACCATTTATGAGCAGGTTTGAGGGCTTGATGTCCCTATGCACTATCTGCATGGCATGCAGATAGTGCAATCCTTGGAGGACACGCTTTGCCACGCTAGAGATTACGTGCTCAGGCAATCTCTGGCGTGCTCGCAGCACATCGAGCAGCGAGCCTCCTTCCATATACTCCATCACAAAACACAAATCACCCCCACCATCATTGTGATCACTAGTACTACTCATGAAGCCATTGTCAAAAACCCCATGGCATCTAATGACATAGGGCGAGTCCACTAGCTTAAGGATCTCCGCCTCACGCGCTGCTTGTTGCAAGATACCGGTGGCATAGTGGTCGAAACGGAGGACTTTCAACGCGTAAATGGTTGAGGTTTTCTTGTGACACACTTTATAAACAGTGCCGCCATTGCCATGTCCAAGAACTTCCAGTTTCTCAAGGTCAGAGAGGTTTTCGACATTGGCTGGAGAGTCAGGAGTAGAAGTAGGAGTAGTAGTCCTCTGCTGCCTGAAATGATCAGCTGCTACCGGAGTAACATCCGGTGGAGGTGGGGAGAGCCTTAGTGCTTGTTGGTGCCTTCTCTCTCTCACCAATGTCATTTACCGCTGATAATCAATGAGCACACATGCACACACTCTTCCTTGATCCTCCTTTGTTTTACACTGGATGAGAAATAATTAATCATGCTAACAAATCTACTGAAATCAGTCAATCTGACGGTCGTGCGTTTAACTACAATATTTGTTGCTTTCAAACTCATAGCAGGGCTGACAAGTGGCCTAGGCTATCCCAAAATTAACGGGCAGCTGAAGTTTATCTCATCTGCACCTGTAAAACGTGGTTAGTTTTGAGGTGAAATTACTTATATCGACACGTATGCTTTTCTTGTTATACTAGCATCTTGGCACACGCTCACACACGTCCTAATCGCCTTTTTTTTGGTTGTCAAAGACTTTTTTTTTTCTTAATTAATATATATTTTTATAATCTTTTATTCTTTTATATATTGGTGGAGAGGTGGAGGTGACTCCCACATCGTTAGTGAGTTTTGTGTTTGTGTTAATTTTAATTTCTTTTTAATTTTTGTATTTAAATGATAAGTATTTTGCCACTTTACCCTTATTATATTAAATTGTGAATTTTTGTTCACTACTTTAATCCAAGGTATACGTGTACCCTCACCACCCTTCCCAAAAGGTGACACATGTCCATGGGTTTAACTATATTTAACTCTTTATTTTTTATTTGTTTGATGACATTATTATGAGAGAGAAACAATGCTTTAATCTTATTCTAAAAAGAGTGCTGCTATTTCCGCCCCCTTGTCCTATTTTTCCACCCACCTTATCTTCTCACCCACCATGTAAATTTGAAAGAACACAAACTTATCTTTCCACCCACCATTATTCCTAAAATACCCTTTAATTATTAATTCTAGTAAATTCTCTTTCCTAATCATTAGTAATTTATTTATAAAAAAACATTAATTGTATTTTCATATTTTCCTTTACAATTAAAAAATTCTTCAATTAGCCCATCCCCACTTAAGTCTCTCCCTTCCCCCGCAACCCAAACCTCTCTTCCTTAAAAAATATAAACCCTCAAAACCCAAATAGAACCCATTGTATTTTGATTCCCATGATCATGAATGGTTACTTTTCTTCTCTCTCTCTGATATTCAAAATAAACTTTTTATTTTATTTTATTTTCAATTATTTCTCTCAATCAGGAATTCCTTTATCTTTTGAGTTCTGACGCTAGATATGGTCGAAGGTTCTATTGTTTTTGAAGGAAGTATATTAGGTTTGATTTGAAAACAAATTAGCCAAGTAGAAAAAACTAAAGATTCTAAATTATAGTCTGGAAGGAAAGGAAAAGGGATTAGATTTCAATATGGCATGAAACTAGACAATAAAAATGGATATTTGAGTTTCAGAGTTTGGGTGGGTTCTGTTCATCCTTTCTGAAGAAAGAAGCGGGACATTAGGTTCCCTTTGTTTTATTTTCCTCAAGTAAAAGTGGTGATGTGTCCTTTTTTTTTTTAACCCTTAGATTGAATTTTAATGATGTGTCAAGCTTATATTAATAAATAGAGAGAGTTTTAAATTTGTCCTTAAAATTCATTTTGCAGAGGGATAAATTTGTTTTTAAAAATTTTAAGATAAGTGGGTGGGAAAATAGGACAGGTGGGTGGAAATAGCAGCACTCTAATTAAAAGGGTATTTTAGGAATATTGGTGGGTGGAAAAATAGGATTGTGTATTTTAAAATTTATATGGTGGGTGGGAAGATAAGGTGGGTGGAAATAGCAGCACTCTTAATTTAATTTAAAAAATAAATCAAAACAATGGAAACTGAAAAGGCAGACGTTCTTATTCCAATAAAAACACAGAAGTCCCTTCAATTGAGAATTTATAGTTTTTAGATTATCCACACTTTGGCATTGCTGTGTTGTGAAAATAATCATTATCAGATTTGCTGTGAAGAGAAATCAGCTGTGAAAGAAAGCAGTTTGACGTTTGATAAACTTTTTGTTAAAATTGTTGTTGGTACTGATTCCCGTATAATCAGAAAATGATTGTTTCATAATCATTAAACTCAACGCCTCTTTGAAACTAATTCCTGCATAATTAGAAAATGAAAGCACCTGATTAGTTGTTTTCCCTTATAGCTTTCTCTCGCAGCAATTTTTAACACCAAGTGATTTTTTCATAGTTTTCCAAACAGAGTGAGCTTCCCAAAATTTTTAAAAAATCACTTATCACCCCAGATAAGCAATGCCAAACAGGCACTTAACAGCTCCAAGAGTGCACTGCCCAATAATTCCAAACTGACTTCCTTTGTTCAAGCAAAAGATAGGTATCATCTATGTTGCTACTTTTTTTTTTTAAAGTACTATGTATTGCTTTTTTATTTTTTATTTTTTATACTTTAGTGATTGCTTTGCTTTATTTAGTTTTCTGAGTGTCAAAGCCAAATTCGAATCTTCGTTAAGATTGGGATGCCAACAGTTTCATGGGAAGTGGAAGAATCTGAATATTAAATTTTTTTTAATAATTCTTTATGGATGTAGCATTCATTGAATATTCTCTCTTTTTTCTTTTGTGCATCATTGAATATCAAGTAATATGATACATATGCAGGCACAAACTGCTAGTGTCCTCATGGACCATTAAGAGGATGAATTTCATGTTACAAATTCTAGTGATGGTGAAGAATCTGTTGATTGTGTACACTTAGATTCTGACTCTGAAAGTCTTGATCCCTTGGATCATACTGAGCAAATTGAAGAGCTCACAAGAAAATTTGGTGACGTTCCAACACTTTGCATGAATTTTGATAATGAACAGGAGGCATATTAATATTACAATTCATATGCTAGAGGTGTTGGATTTAGTGTGAGAAAGCTTAGAGTAAATAAGGACAAGAATGGATACATAAAAGAGAATTTTGTTGTTCTTGTGAATGTTTCTATAGAAAAAAGACAACTTCAAAGAAGAAAATAGAACAAAGAAGATTTGGATGTAAAGCAATGCTTGGGATAAACTTAATCGAGATGGAAAATATGTTGTGAAAAAATTTGTAGCTAAACATAATCATGATCTTCCGTATGGATTTCCAACTGTTTCTAGTGTTCAAGGATTCCAAATCACCCACTTGGATACCAAGCTATACATCCAATGTTGTCCAATTACTCGTTTATACTTCCACAGGTTTGTTATCTTAATTTATTGAATTCACTACACATATAGTTTTCTATATTTTTTTGTTTTAAGTTTCATTGGTATTATTTTTAATTGTTTGATTAATTTACAGGAAAACAATCAACCAAGACCTCAAGGACCAGCTCATCAATTGAGTTTTTCACATCCACCAACATATTAGACCAAGTTTTTGCAGCGTAGAAAAGATAGTAGGAACAACATGAAATTGTTCTTTTTTCGTGTGTCCAATGCTAGGACATAATACATGACATAACTTAGCTCTCTATAATTTTCTTTGGAGTATTTTATTTTAAGAAAACCTTTTGGGCCTAATATAAGATTATCATAATTTTAGAGTATTTTTTCTTTTTCTTTTTTTGTTCTATCAATTTTATTTTTTTTGTTTTTTGTTAAATAATCAAAGTATTTGATTCAGCATATCTATAGGGAAAAGATTGGCCTTGCTGAGTACCTTGCAAGGTGGAGGACTTAGGCCCCATTTGGGATTGCTTTTTTTCTCCAAAAACCCGTTTCACTTTAAAATTAAGCAGTTTAAGGTGTTTGGTAAAAATAAAATATCCCGAATATTTTAAAAGTAGTGGCCTTTTGACGGCAGCTTTTAAAAGCAGGGTCTGGGTTGCTTTTCAAAGCTGCTTTCAAAAGAAGTAGAGATGAACCTTTAATGAATTTTTTTGATTACCAAAATACAATCATTCATTTTAAAAGCACCACCACATCCACTTCCTCATCCAACTCCACTACTTGCACCACCACATTCACTATCTCCACCACCACTGCCACCACCACATCCTCCTCCTCCTCCTCATCCTCCGACACCACCACCTCCTCCATTTCCACCACCACCACCACCTCCTCCATTTCCACCACAA